CAACTTGCAATGAGCTCACGGTAAAACAAGCTCACCCATTCTGAAGGGTCCAAAACCGGATGGAAATCCTTATCTTCGGTAAATTATATGAATGGAAATAATGATGCACCGCTAGATAGGTTTATCCCATGGACAGGGCTTCATGCATCCCAACTGGTTTGAAGTCGATTTCGTCCCCCAGTAGTACTTTTGTTCAACTCGCAACAATTTGTCTTGCCCTTTTTGCCCCGCGATTCACGTTCAGCGCCACCCCTTTGCCGGTTTCAGCCGAGAAATGGAATTTGTGCGACGTGGTTGTCCGAGCTGCTTGGTTTGAACGCAGTGGGCAATCAGCTCGCTTCCCATGCCGGGACTCTCTCAATCATCGGGAAGAGCGAGCGTGCCGTTCTGGGGGAAGCAAAGCGCCAAAAGCAGGTTCTGGGGCTTTCGGCTGGGCCAACGTAGCCGGCCAAGGAGAACGGACCATGGCTTGGAGAACGGGTAGATCGCGTTGGAATAAGGGAACTCCTTTTTGAAACTGACCAGCAAATTTGTCTCAGGGATAGCCGCCTAGTTTCCGGCTCAACTGAGCTGCAGCAATTTTATGCCACCTTTTGGGGCCACCGTAAACCCAAAAAGGGGGAACAAAGGAAGCATAAATCAGAGCCACTATAGCCCCCAAAAGGGGAAACACAATCAGCGCCACATTGAAGTTAGTTCTCAAGTTGCACCGTCGGGTTTGAACTTTACTGTTCCTGGCTTTGGTTTTCGTTTTTGCTGCGTTGGTTTCATTCATCTTTATTATGGTGGGCTTTCATCAAAACCAGCGTTTGCTGGATCACTCTCTGGCCAAATTGGCATTTGTAATCCCCAAGACAAGCTGCAGGGGTTTGTCATCAGGGGGCGAATGGAGGCGCAGGGGCCTCAAGTGAGTGGGCTTGCCTTTTGATTGTTGACGCCCTCTGGGACTTTTTGAGTATTTTGATACATGCTAAGGTTCACCAAATATGGACTGGAATCAAGCAAACAGTTGGCTGGGGGGCCTTTTTGGCCAAAAGCTGAGGTAGCTTTGGAAAGAAAGGGACCCTTGGAGAATGGTTTGTATGCATTCTTCGGCTTCCGGGAAGCCTTTGGTTGAACAAGCAGCACTCCCCAAACCTTGCTTGCTTTTTCGACAGCTCGCACTTGGGGTTTTGGACGTTGAAAAAAGGTCGTTGGCTGGTGGAGGCGGGCCATTTGGGATCCATCAACAGACAGGGTGGTTTTGCTTGGACTACCTCTACCAGTTCGGTAGCCAATGGGTTTTATACGAGCTGCTTGCTTGTGATAGTTTGGGTGGTTCCCATGGTAGGCAACATGTTCGAAGGATTGGACCTAGGCATTTGTCGATCCCTCGCCGAGGAGCGATGGGCAACTGATACATCATGAAAGGTAATTTTGACCCATATGAAACAAATAGTGATTAGTAGGGGGGTGTTCCCCCTCCAACAGTGGTTTGAATCTCTACGAAAACCAGGAACACCCCCATATTCATACGCAGGGGTCTGTTGATATGGGGTCAACATCAGTGTGGTCGTTTGTTTGATTTGTTGAGCACCAAGGGGAGAGCAACCAGCTTCATGTTTTTGTTGGGTTTCAACTCGACTCTCCTAGCCGTTGCCTTTTTCCCTCATTAGACCAGCTCCATTTCATAACTGCTTGATTTGTGAACTCATTTATATTCTGAAAGCATACTTTCGCATTTTCGGCTGCATGATTGATTCCCAAGCCTCACATCCCCAGTTCGGGACTTCAACTTTTGGGGAATTGGAATGGTCACCTCCTTCGATAATTTTCTGCCCTGCATCCTCCTTTTCATGCGCAAATTAGCTGCCCCCTCAGTAACGGCGAACATTCGGACGCGATGGCTACGCACGGCTGGCTGAGAGGCCAGTACTCTTCGTGGGAAAGGATGGGCATGCCTTCGACCAAACAGTTCTGGACAAATGCCGAGCAAAATTGGTGGCAGCGACGCAAATGAAGACCCATGAAGGTCTTAAGGGCCCCACCCATAGTGTATGGACGGCGCCTAAACGTATTCCCTTGTGGGCACAAGGGAAGCAACATATGGAGGGGCCCCCATGTTTTCCCTGCTTCAACCACGTAGTCTCCATATCAGACCCCTCTTGGAAGTATGGTTTGTTTCTGGCCAAACACTTGGTTTCTGTGAAAAGAACTGCAAGCACCGGAGTTATGGTCCACAGGCAAGTGTCGATCCCTTCTCAGTGCTTTCATGGTGTGCCGGGACATGCTGTTGCGATCCGATCGCCGGGAACCAATTGGCACCGTTCCGTCGCAAACCTACAGACCACCTGAGCCCTCCGCCGAAAGAGACAAAAAAGGGCTTGAGCATTGGCGCGGAAGGGCTTGGCTCAAGGCTCAAGGGGACCATGGCCAGCCAGGGGGTTCGCGGTGTTGACTTCCATTTGCTTAAGAATATTGTTTTGTTTCCCTTGTTGGTTTTAAAGGAAATTTATCGCTACTGGAAAATATGTTGTAGTTTTTCCAGGGGCCTTAACCAAATGGAAGTTGACCATTGGCCAGAAATCAAAACGGAGCAGGGGCAAGGAGCAGGACAGGCTTGGGCACTTGTCAGCCCCATTCCGCCCTGCCCGCCTGATTTGTCAGAAAGACAACTGGAGGCAATTCTAGGGGACACTTCCACATTCTTTCCAGGGATCCTTCTTTCCAGACAACCATCAGCACCCCAGGGGAAACAGCTTTTTTTTTAAACGATGGTTGAAAATAATGGGGAATCAACCCCTAGAGCAATTGCAAATTGCCCAGGCCGATTTTGAGCGAACTTTGCCTGGCGCAAAGGGTCAAGGTCGAAGACTGAAAGAAGAGGGCTCTTTTTTCGTTTAACCCACGACCCTCCCCAAATGTGTAGACTCATGCAGAATCCCTTGTGAAGGTACAGGTGGTGAAGGACCAGCGTGTCAGGTTCGTAAAATGATGAGCAGCAGAAGTCGGGAAGCTTTAACCTGGGTCCCAGGTTACAGTTTGAGGGCTCAAAATTACGTGGGGGTTCCTTTAAAGCTTCGGTAGTTTCTCACTAAGCTTCTTAGCTTGGATCTAAGGCCAATTTTACGCACGTGGAAGGACTGCTTTTGGGCAACCTAAAGTAACTTTTTTGCGGACACATTTATCCGGCTTATTCGAAGTGAGCCGCTGTCCTGATTGATTCTGTTGGTGTTCAGGAAAGCACGGTTCACTTGTTGTGTTTGATCGAGTCAACAAGAACAACTGCACAAATCATCGGTTTTTCTCTTCGGAGCCAGAGTGATTTGGACCCTCTCTCAAATGGCTTGTACTCACAATTGGAGGAGGCCCGGGACGTGTTCATGGTTGCAACCCAAGCGAGTCCTGTTCAAAACTGGTTTCCCAAGCTCAGCCAAACAAAACAACCAACACAAATAAGCCACCAAAGAAACAGCAACCCTTTACCCTCAAACCCAGTAAGCATGGGATATCGCCTATGTCCCTTTTTCCGAAGGCATCGCGAATGGTTCTTCCGTGCGAGGCCCTTGCACCAACTTGCACGGGTCAACTTGTACAGAGCCAGAATGCACAGAGCAACTTGCCCAGAGCCATTTTCACAGAGTCAGGTGCACAGAGCCATTTGCGCAGATCTACTTGCGCAAAATGAAACTTTAAGATCTTTAAGTGCAAAATAAATACGCAAAGCGTCCGCAGTTCCAGCTGGATAACCGCAGCCTTTAAGTGCAAAAGTAGTACTCTAAGTGCTTTGGCTGCAAAGTCACAACCTTTTCGCACAAAAGTAGAGCGCAATGTGCGTTCCCGCGGAAAATCGCAACTTGCGCAAAGAAGCTGGAACGGGGCACTCGCCGAGAGCGACGCGGAGACTTGCACACAGCAACTTGCGCAGAGCGCTCATGTAAAGATGCTTGCACAGAGCAACTTGCACTGAGCAATGTGCGCTGAGCTATCGGCGCAGAGCACCCTTGCACGGAACATTGCTGCGCAGAGAGTTTCGCAAATGTGCGCAGAACAACTTGAACAGAGCACTTGCGCAGAGCAACTTGCGCAAGGCATTTGCACAGGCCACTTACGAAGAGCAATTTGCAAAGAATCTTGCACACTGAGCTCGCGCAGGCCAACTTGCATAAACCCACATGCGCAGAGCACTCGTCGCAGAGACCGACGTGCAGACTTGCGCGGAGCAACTCGGGCAGAGCAAGAGTGTTCAGGCAGAGCCACAACAACAACTTGTGTACCGCACCTCAGAGCAATTTGCATTTAGCAACTTGCGGGCAGCATCTTGCCGCGCGACGCTGCGCAGTCTGCTTGAAAAGCTGCTGTCGCGCGCCAGGCCAAGCCTTCAGGTTCTTTAACTCATTGCGTGGAAAATATCATTTTGCAGGGGGCCTGCTATCATCACCGCGGGAGGATCGGGGGCTTAATGAAACATGGCGGCCACATGCTTTTGGGCAAATCGTCTAGGTTAGGGGGGTAGTTTGAGGGTCCAAGACACCATCTCACGCGCGCCGTGTTCGCCTGACGGCTCGATCCAGCGGTGTTGTTATTTGTTTTTTGGGGGCTCAGAGTCGAGACCGCCGGGCCATGGAACCCATCAAGGGCCCGGCTGCCAGCACAGAACACAGTCAATTTAGTATGAAGCAGTCTTGTTCAGACTGAAGGTGTCTTCAACCTGACAGCATGAAATCTTTTCTTTCACCCAATTCCAGAAGCAAGTCGCTTAGACCAGAAGCTCAAGCCAGGTTCCAGGTTGGCGGGAGGGCCTTTGGCTCATAGTTTGAAGAGATACCAAAATGACCTCCAATCCTTGCTTTGCAGAACCCTTTGGGCAAATTGGTTCCCAGGATTTTGTTTAGGGGAAATCAACCATCTTGGGGTAGCCAAAAAGTTGTCAAACCCAGGGTCTGATGGTTTTAGCCAATGCGCCTTTTGGCATCGCCAGACGTTAAACAAATAAACTGTTCACGCATCGCTTAGATCCGATGTCGGATCGATCGGGTGACTTTCAGCTCAATCCAGCGTCGCGGCAGCAAGACCTTTGGGGTCCCATCACGTGCTACCGACTCAATCCATGGAAGCAGAGATATGCACATGCTTAGCACTATATACATAGATTGTACCCTTGCCCCCTTGGACCGGTAACATATATATATATTAGCTGCCAATATTACGTGAGGAACACAAAATTCATGGTCTTGTGATTCATATGAGCTTGCCCCATTTGCATAGGCAGAGGCCCCTCTTTGTGACAATGATAGTTGCGGTTTTGCCTATGTGTTTTTTGGTCCTTTGCTGCTCTCCCACATTTGTTTTGGGCATACAATGCTTAAGCCTAAATGACTTTGCACAAAGCACCAGACCTCCGAAAAGGTTTGGTTTGACGGTTTTGGATAGGGCTTCTTTTGAATCAGCCACGTAAGCTGTGTTCAGCCATTGTTGCTCATAGCCGTTTGGCAAACTTACTAGGTTTTTTGCCTGCAGGTTTCAGGCCCGAAACAGTTGAAACGGTTTCTGGCCAGTCAGCTCAGTATCTAACGTATCACAGCTGTGGCCATGTTGACGTTTTTGGCTAAATCATGATCCTACCTGTTGCATTGTCCATGCCCCAAGACTTCCCATGGGAATCTTTTTAGTTGTTGTGGCCTTTTTTAGCCCATGGCATCATTTTCCCTGTTGGGAACAAGGACCCCTATCAATTCACCACCGTTGGAGTGATTAAGATTTGATGTCCAATTGACGTTTGCCGAATCTTGTAACACTGAGTCTGAAGAACTTGTCTAGCAAGTCATCATGTTGGGATGGAACAGTTTTGCACACATCTTCCACACCTCCTTTTAGCATCTTCCTTCTGCCACCCTGACCTGACATCCTCCCTTGAGTTCCTTTTTGCAAACATTCGAGAATACCATGACTTTGTAATGTTGAGGGCATCGATGTCTCCCCCCATCCCACCGCAACCCAACAACTCTGTTCTCTGGCAGGTCTTTTTTAAGCTTGGTTGTTGGTTATGTTCATTTTCGGTGGGGGTTGCGGAGAGCAGGTTTCCATTTTGCTGGACAGTGGATGCCCTAAGTGTTGCCCTTTGAATTCCAACAACTTTCTCTGGCTTTGATTTCGTTTTGGGATCCACCCAAGGGACGGAAAGAAGCCCTCACTCTTGAAGCATTTTTCTCAGCCTATTTCGAAGGTTCCATGTGAGCTTCGGTCAACATGTCCAGGACTCAAATCAAGTTTCCCACACAAAAAAAAACAGGGGAGAACCTCTAAGTGTCCATGTCCTCCTGGGGAAACCAAGTAGATTTGACAGTGCCTCATGTATGTGTTTCTGTTGGTGGGACCCCTTACCACCTTGGTTCAGGGGGAAACCACAAGAAACGCCACCCTCTTGAGGCCTCCAGATATGGAAGGGTATCTGCAATACCGATTCAGAGCAATAACAAGGGGAGCTATGGGAAGTTCATGAGCTTTAATGGTACTTCAGTCACTTGTTGGGTCTGGACCAGTGTAGTGGCAAAACAACAAAATGACTTTCTTGACCAACCCGCTTGTTGGGAAGTTCTGGCTCTGGCGCTGCTACGGCTTAGAATTGGCAACATGATGCAATTAAGCTCAACCCGGGGTTTAGAAGCAACAACCCAGGTTTGGCGGCCAGTTGTTGTTGTGTTTAACCTTCAACTTGTTGGGGGAATGTGCGTTGTCGCCCAGGTCCCCCAGTAGCTTTTACCTTTTGTTTGTGGAGGGAGGGTTCCCTTACTAAAACAGACTACAGAGAAAAGTTGATACCCTTATTCTAAGCTCTATACTGGAGGACCTAGTCTAGTCGCACTCGCCCACAACAAGCTTTTAGCTTTTTGCGCAGGCCATAGCCACCCAGCCGGCGTTCATGATGAACACGGGAGTTTCTCACATCGCGAGCCCCGTTTTGGTGAGGGAAACAAAAAAGGAAACCAAGGATTGTGCGGGAATCAAAAGTTTTTTCATGGGAGGTCCCTTAGAAAAAACCACAAATATGATGATATTTCCTGCATGGGAGATAAGCTATGCATGGTCATTGTTTTGGGCCCGAAATGGAATATGGATCAACGAGCCCATATCGTTGTGTCGCTCGTGTTCGCGCCCCAGTTTTTCTTTCCAAACTTTCGAGTCGAGGACTGGCTGCGCCAGCTGGTGGAGGACATCCGCGCGCTACTGCCAGAGGCGCCGAGTCGGGAGGTCAGACCCAGGTATGCTATTCTTCCCCAAAACAAGTACAAGGGAATTTGGTAGTTGTATTTTGTCTAGAGCCGATATCTAAAACCGAGCTGAGAAACACCCGCTTGTGTTGGCTGGTTTAAAGGGAAACCTAAGCGAAAACCACCCATTGTGGGCCCTCTCTATTTTGACACACACGCCCGTATACATCCCGGCTTGATTGCCGGGGGGGCCGGTTCCACAATTGACCAAGAACCCAAGATATTTGGTGTCGCGAAATGGCTGGTAGCCCAGGGGTTTTACAGGAGAATTGAGGGTTGACCTGGGGTTGTCACCTAGCTGGACCATCCAAGTGTGTCGTTCTTTTCAGGTACCACCTAAGTGGTGCAAGGCCCGACAGCTACCAGGTGTTGTTTGTCCAGTGACCTGACGGCTTGGGCTGGGGGATATTGACAGAAATCCCATTGGGTGCCTGGTTTCTTCTTGTGGGATTTGGCATCAAGGGTCGATGAGGTGAGGATTTTGGGGAAGGTTATTTTTGCCAGGCCAATGGGGGCTTGGGAATAAATGCGCCCCTCTAGAGGTGCCCTTTTTGTAGTGAGAAACAAATGACCAAAAAGGGCAAACGCCTTGGCGTGTCGATGAATGACCCAGCCGACCCCAGAGACGTGAGGGGGCGTCACACAAACTTGTCCAGCATCTTGTACTGACTGCCCTGAAATTGGAGAACGTTGCGCAACCGATTGCGCCTCTAAAAAGATTGGGACCTCCACATCGCTCATTGCGTTTTGGCCGACCCAAAGGCAAACCGCATCAACCCGCCAACCCATGCTCCAGCGAAATCACGACGGCCTTCCATCGAAGGACGACTCGTCCCTGGGGTCGTCGACATCGAACCCCGGCAGCGTGGGCCATCCAGAGCTTTGCGACCACCGCTGCGCCTCGGCAGATAAAGTCTGCGCGCGAGCCGACGCGCGGCAGGAGCTGCAAGTCTTTGGGCTGGAACACCCTTTGGTGGGGTGGCGGGGTGGGGTTGGGGGGGCACTCCCGGGAGTGGCCTTTGCTTTAACGGGCTCGTTGGGGTCGCCGCTATTCTTTTCCTAGCAACTAAGTCATCTGCACCGCCCAGATGTGACCACAATCCTTGCTTCCTCCCTCAGCGCCTTTCGGCCTTGCCGGCTTGGGAGGCTACGCTCGCCATGTCCTCGGTCTCCACAGATCCCAAGGAACCCTCACCCTCCCATCCAGCCGTATCTCCACTTGAGATGCCCGAGTCCACCCTCGTAGTAGGCCTCGAAGCCCTTAAAGACTCTCGCTTCTGCTGTTTAATCTCCACCTCCACTCCGTTAACAACCAGCCTCGTCGAAGTTGGATTCTGCTGCTCAAGCCCCCACTCCTCTTGCAGTTTCCAACTCCTACCCCACTGATCGCAGACCATATGCACGTTCTTCCGTCGAAGCCGCGCCACCGGATGGTTCTCGACAACCCGGGCGGGCTCTGCCACCTTCATCATTTTCATCACACCGCCAGCCACTGCCTTGGTGGTCCATCTCACCACCATCGCAGCGCCCACCGCCATGAGAAGAGCACATCCGGCATAGTTCCATTGCCCTCCAGCATTGTGTCGCTCGTCTCCTTCAAGCCCTCCGCTTGCGCCAGAAGACTTCCGGGCAGTGGTGCCTACAAATGGCTGCAGATTCCGCTCGGCCATCCTGCTGGGGTAGGTCCGGTTCATTTTCCCTCGACCTCTTTTTCGTGGGCGGTTCATCTTCTCTGCCCAATTCTTTCAGGTTCCCCGACCTGGTTTCTTCCCCGTCCGGCCCTCCTACAGTCTCCGGTTCATCTTCTGGCGATCTTACCTTTCTTCTTGTTGGCCCAGTGGCTCTTCTTTTCAGCCCATTGGCCATCCTTGCACATCCCAAGTTCCACCAACAAGCTACCGAACGCTTGCCCTAGCAACAACTTGGTGAGACCATCAGCTACCAGCTGCGAACCCGGCATGTGCTCCAAGACCCACTCGCCCTAACGCCCACCTCAAGGCCGATGCTCTGATCCTGAGATGTCTGGTTCTCCAATTCCCAGATCCGTTAGAGGCCAAACTGATCGCCGCCATATTGTCCCCATCCGCTTATGCAACCTTCTCGCCCGTGACCACCTCTGCAAGGGATACCAAAGCCCGGCCCACCGTCAACGCCTCGCAGTAGCCGATCAGCTCTCCCTCTGCGGTGCTCTGGGCCACAAAGGGCTGCCTCACCGACTCCATCATATCGGAGCTCCCTCGACGAAGCCCACAATGCCCTGTACGCTCTTATCCTCACCAGCCCCGGCGCCCATGCAGACCACCGTTTTGTCTGGGCGATTCTTTCTTCCAAGTTCTCCGACCACGTCTCACCGCCTTGGCCAGGTCCTGTAACCTCCCCCAGTCCTTGCAACCCTTCCAGGTTCGTGGCTATGGTCGTAGGTGTCCTTCGTTCATGCCCCAGCGGTCCTTGATCTAGATGACTCATCTCCATCCTGTACCGCAGTGCGAAGGCCTTCCACGCCCGAAAGCGCGACAGGCTGACCAACTTTTCCTTCGGGATATCCACCCTGTAGTCACCGGGATCTCAAGGTTGCTCCTGAACATACCCAACCGTCCGTCGGTAAGCCCTTTCTTCTCGCCGTCTCCTCTGCTATGATGAATACCGTCATCATCCTCAACCACAGGATTGAGTCTCCCTCTACCATCTCCTTCTCCGAGTTCGTGAGGTTCAGGAAGCCATAGGGGTATTGTCTCTATTCCTTCGCACCGGCCTCGGTCCTGGTGATCTCGATCTGCGACAAGGCGGGCCCTCTATCAAGCTCACCATCTTCCCACTCTTCGCCAAGGAGAGGAGGTAGCCATAGACATCATCGCTGTGCAAATCCTGTGCAGGATTATTCACCTTGTCCAGGCACATAATCACCGTGCCATCCTTCTCCATGTCCAGCCACTCCTTACCCGAGAAAATGTGCACGTGAACTCTCTGTGCCCTCTCAATTGTTCTTCTCCTCCTGTTCCACGGCAACTTCACAGGGTCGTCGTCTTGCGCAACCACCAACCTGGCCAGTATCTCCGGCACGTCGGCGAAGAGCTCCTTCAGCGCGAGCATGGCCTCGTAGGTCGGGTTCTTGGTGGACGTCAAAAGGGCCCTTCAGCGAAAGCTTCCAATTGAACTCCGCCTTTTTGTGTTCCATCTGCTCGATGCCCAAGGCCGCACTCTCCTCAACCATAGGGCACCCTGAAATCATGGTGACCTCTACCGGGCTACCCTTGTAGGTCACCGATGGACCACACCACCATGTAGCCGGCTTCCGGCATCGCACCCATCGGCGCTATGACCTGCGTACCTTTCTCTGCCAGCAAAGTCAACGTCCCTGGCTTACTCCGCAGTGCAGATGCTGGAGCCATCCGCCAAGTGCACAACGATCTCAGCCTGGTTCCATTCTTGGCTTCTCCAAGGTCTCGGTGCGTTGCGCCTGTCCAGACCCGTTCCGCGGCCTTCATTACCCACCTGGTTCATCACGATCACCGCATTCATCGAAGGCCGCAGCGAGCGAAGAAGACGAGTTGCTTCCGCCAACAGCTCCCCCGTTCTGCCCGCACCACCCGTAGGTCCACCACCTGTAGTAGCCGCCGCTGATGTAATATCCTTCTCCACCACCATTCCGCTGGCTTCTCCACATCCTTGCGATTTTTCAGCACTTCCACTTGCACCTTTTCCTTCACCTCCCCCCGAGCTGCTGCCCAGCTCGCACTTCGCCGCTTTCACCGCCGGATTGGGCATTGGTCTGCTTCCAACCTGTGGGTTCCCTGCCTTCGGCCTTCCTGTGGGTTTTTGCCCCACAGTTGCAACACCGCGCCGCTTTGTCCGTGACTCCCTCCCAATCGGGAGGCCACTTGCAGCTCCGGCATGCTCTACACCCATTTTCCGAGGAGAAGTACCTGCAGCTGATCACGTCCTTCTTTGCAGATCCCGGTGCTTGTTGGTGTACTCCATGACCAGCATGCTCATTTCCACCACTCATCGCCTTGACCTTGGGCTGCACCGCCCCTTCGCCAACCATCAACTTTGCCGTATCCATCTCCGCCAACAACAGCTCGGAGTGGCTCTCGCTGTCCCAGCTGTGACCTTGCCTGGGCCACCCTGAACGCTTGAGTGCCTCCTTTCACCAGTTGAACCACCCGTCCAAGTCCCTTTGGCTCCAATCTCCTGCGCCCGCAAGTCGTACCTCCGCCACTCTCGCACTGCTGTTGCCGCGTAGCTCATGTTGCCCAGGCCCGTGAGCTTCAAGATGAGAGCTCCTTCCCCCGGACCTCCAGGTAGGTACGTAACCAGCCTGTGTAATACTCCAGACGTTTCGCGTGCCGAGATCAAAAGAAGTGTCACACCCCTCTGCTCCGTGACGAACCTCGGGGTTTTCAGCCGATCTGGCACGTCCACTGTGATCTGAGGCCTTTCCAACGGCATCGATTTCAACCAGACCTTGTAGAGCTGCTTCGGCCCCAGGGTTCCAGTCCACCACTCCTCTGCTCCTTGGCGAAGGACCACTCATCTGCGCTCCTCCCTGCGCTAACCAGTCTCCCAGCGTCAGCGGCGAGTGGTCCTATGCCAGCTCCGGCAATTCCACTTTCCCACCAGCGCCTCCTGATTCTACTTGCTTGACCACCGCCTTCGGGTCTTCCTTCTCCCAACCCTTCCAGTCTGTCCATGCTTCCCAGCTCCGAGATGGCCATGTCGCTTGCCACCAATGATCATCTTCCGGCCACTGCGCTTGCCACCCACGATCCACCTCCTGGATCACCATCTCCTTCGGCGGCTCGCCTTCCGGTAGCCTCGTTCCTCCTGGTGTCATTCTTGCACCCCTCGTCGGCGATCTCGGTGGCGACCTCGGGTCTCGGCGTTCTCTCTACTCTAGGAGGTGGCGGCGGCGGTGGTGGCGGCACCACCATCAAGTGAAAGGCTTAGTTGGCGTTGCAAGCACCTCTACTTGCTCCGCCGGCGTTGCAAATCTCTCTGCCTTCTGATCATGGTTTTCCTTCCAGAACTCTGCTTCCACCTGCCGCTTCCTTACCTTTGCCCTCAAGTCCTCCATCACGCCGAAGAGGTACTTCCGTTGCTGCTCCATTCCTCGCAGCTTTCTGCATGCCTTCATGAAGTTCTTTTCGAAACATCTCTTCCGCCAGGTCCAACTCCCCGATGAGCTCGTCGTCATTATCCCGCCGAACCTTCTCCGGAAGCCAAACCTTGTGCTCATCATTCCAGATCCAGTCCAGGTTCAACGGGGTCATATTCCTCGAGGCACTCGTCACCGTCTGTGCCCTTCCGGCAGCAAGTACACCTCTGTTCCCCGTCCGCTTACACGCAGCTACCCACGATCGCTGGTCCTGAAGTTCTGGATCTTCCATTTCTTCATCATGCTCTTGACCTTCATCTGCGTATGGTTCTCGCTATTCATGTAGTAGGTCTCGTTCTCGGCCTGGCCGTAGAGCTCTCGCGGATCCTGCCTCCAAACTTTGCCTTCTGTCCCACCAGGACCACGCAGTTCAGCTTCTCTTCCGACAGGTCTTCCCCGCATAATGCCAGGTCTTCTTGCCTTTCCTTTTCCGGCCCCATCCCCATGACCGGGTAGTCAGCCACCTCCTTGTCGAAGCCCTTCTTCATTCCCAGGTAGTCGAGATCCTTCACGTTCTCGCCCATCACCCGGACGTCGCATTTCTTCTTGCGAACCTTGGCCTCCACCATTGGCCATTTCTACCTCCATTTCAGCCCTTTCAAGGTCTGCGGTGAGGTCCTTCTTGATCTCTCTCCAGAGCTCCTCACCGATTGTCCGGTTAGGCGCCGCCTCGGGGTGCATACCGATCTGCTGATCGCGCCCTTCGAGTTGACCGTCGCCATCACCAGGTTCTTCATAAAGAGCTCCTTCATTTCCCAGCTTTTCATCTGTTCCCGTCACTGGTGGCAGCCTACTCGGTCGGCTCTAAGCACCGCTTCTTCTCGTGCTAGCAGCTAAGTCTTGACCTAAAAAAGGGGCTCCGGAATTGGTCCATCGGGACGGGAAATGGTGTGGTCGAATACATGAAGAAGATGGGCGCACGCAGAGCCAAAATCAAGTCTGCCCTTGGGGACGGAATCTTTGGCCACAGAACAAGCATGTTCTGTCTCTCTTCCATGTTTCGTTTGGAGAAAAGTCATGGATATTCCGGAGACAGGGTTGTTTGAAATTTGCGGTCCCACCGTAGTACTGTCTCAATACGACAACACAACGATGACACAAACGATACCCTCTTTCAAGCAATCCTGGAAGTGGACGCGGAGGTTCCCTTTCAAAAGGAAAGTCGTCCTGTACCTTCCTATCAGCAATGTTGGATGATTGGGGGAGGGCAACCAAAAAGTAAGGCAAACAGCTGCGTTAAGATCGTGGTCGTTCAGAAGCAAAACGGCCTTGTCTCTAGTGGCTCTAGTGGAGTGGAACACGGTTAGCCAAAACCAACACGCTGCAAAATCAACCAATTTGCACTTTGGCTTCTGACTCAGGACCCTTCAAGCGAAGCCCCCAAAGTTCAAGCAGAGGGTACCCAAGTTGACCCCTCGCGCCGCTTTCCAGCTGCAGGCATCTACTTCATGAAGGGCCGGTGTCAGCAGGGCGGCTCCTGCGGCTTTTGCCACCGACACCACGGCTCACAGCCAGGGACACTCAGTGAGACGAAATCCGGCCGTGGGCAACCCTCGCCTTTGGGTGTTTGGAGTTTTCCTACGGGGGAAACACAGGGCGAGGATGGCCCAAGGGATGCAAATTTTGGCGCTCCACGGAAGTTCACTATCATGTACTTGGGGTTTGAGATATGGGTGTGGCTCAAAATTAAACAGGAGGGGTTACGCAGGTGTTGGTCCATGTTTCCACTTGCCAGGGTTCCATTTTGGGTACCAGTTTTTTGAGCCACAGCCATATGAGCTTCTGAAAAGAGGGGTCCCCTTCCCATCAAAGCCAAAAGGACACCAACCACTTGGAACAATTCCAACCTTGAGACCTTCTTTCCGTTCGGTGCGTGGCACTTGAGGTTCAGGCAACCTGCCCTGTTGGGGAGTCATTCGGGTATGGGTCAAGAAACCACAGGTTTTAGGCCCTATATATATATATGTATATTTGCGAGGGTTCCATTTTGGGGTTGCCCTATATATTTTTGACCCGCACCCATTTGTCCTGTTGTTTGCTATTCGGCATGCAACCAGAGCTCCACCCTGGCGTGTGGCTTTGGGGGGTTCAAGGAGAGGGGCCTTGGCGGAAAGAACCAGAAGACCAAAAGGGTTTTTGTGTGATCCATGTTTAGTGGCCCCCAAAGATGATCTCACCTAATTTCCAGCTTCGACAGGGTGAGGACGTTCTTTGCTTTGAGAGAAATCGCCTTTCGAGATCGACGATTTCTGGGTTCGACTAACGAGTAGAGAACTGTTTGCAGGTCGTCCAGCTGTTGCGCCCCTGAATGCAAAGGCAAGCCGGGATTTACAAATGAGTATGTTTGTTTTTTAGAGTACCCTCTTTTGTGAATTGGTTTAAAGGAAAGCCACAAGGACACTATTTGGGGTCTCATTTTTTGGACACCCCCAAATCGGTGATGGTTGTTTGTTGTTGTCTTTGCTCGGGAGTGCAATGAGGGAATCCGGATCCAATTCATGCTATCTGACCATCGCAGGTTTCTTGCCGCAGAGGTGCCAGGCGTCGATGATCCGAAATTCTCAGGGAAGGCTCCTCGCTCTTCGTTCTTGGTTGCCCTAAAACCGTTCCCAGAAAATGGGTTGGTTAATTACCCTGTACCCGCATACAAAGACCTCCCCAAGCTAGGCATTGTACCCGGAAGATTGGTGTGACAGTATCAGGTTGAAAGATGCAGAAGTCACCCCGGTGCAGAAGTGTAAACCCAACAAAACCTGTAGGCCTATGACCATATGGCTTCCCTGACTTCATGGAGTGAACAGCAAACCTTTGGTGGAGGCATTTCGAATGGTACGAGGGAAAACACAGGAAGAGCAACGTTTAGGTGTCCCTGGACCCTCAAAGCCGATTCATAGCTCATGGCAGGAGCTGTGGTTCAACAAGCTGCCAAGAAGGTGCCCTCTTTTTCCATGACCACTGGAGGTCTGGGTTCATTCCCACGTTGTGGCTCATATGCTCACAAAGAACAGCAATCGGGGATCGTTCTTTCGGCAACCGACACCCCCCTCAAAATTGGTCAAGTTCGATTGTTTGGATCTCTTCTTCCCCGACTACGATGCGATCAGATCATGGGTTTTGATTGTTGAACCTGACTGTATGGGAGAACTGTCTGTCCCGGCTTGTGGGTTCCATGTTGAGCTGTGAAGTCGCACAAGTGGTTTCCCTTTTTTCGCATGTTTCACGTTCCCTCGGTGCACGAATTATCGCGATGAGACACTCCCAGGTCTCCCCGACCGCCCGACCGCAACCGCAACCCGAACCCTGGCCCGGAGACGATCCCGAGCACTCCGGAGCCTAGTGGGGCAGAACCCCCCCAAAAAACGTCCAGGTCTTGGGGAAAGCATGGACCAGAATCAGAAGAAAGCATGGTTGGAGGGCCCAAGTAGTCTTGGCCTAGATACAACTGGCCCTTCTGGTCTCAGGCCGGCCCACCCAGACAAGAAGCAGCGCACGCTTTTTGACAGATCGGAATTGGACATCTCAGGAGTCACCTTCTTGAATGATAGGGGCCTCTATTGCGGAAAGTTTGTTCCTAATTCAGGATCCTGTGACAGTTCGAATGTGGAAAGTGTTCTTTTGCCGGGAAAGAACGCCGGAACAAACCAGGCACAAAACAACTGGCCAAAAAAGTCGGGCAACAAATACAGGCAACCAAATCCTGGCAAACATTAGGAATGCCTTTTGTTGTTTTGGTACCGAAACCGTCAAACTTAATTTGGGATGACTTCTTTACACAAATGCAACGAAAGCGGGTTGCCCACACGAGGCCCTGATACTCTTGAATGTGACTGTTCTGGAGTCCGCTTTAGTGTCCAACTTTTTTGTGGGGTTGCTGAAGTTCCCAAATGAAAGCCTTAGCCTTTTAATTCCTTTTCAAGGGTGGTTCGCCAAACCAAGCTCTTCCCAGCTCAAAGGGTACAGGTTTCAGATAGAGGAAAACCATTTTGCAAGTGGTCCCCAAACCAATAAATTTAATTTATCTTCTTCACACAAAAGTAAGGGCAACCAGTCACACAAGGGGGGCTGGCTGCCCACAATCACAAGAGGCGCTGATCCTCTTAATGTGACGGTGTTGGGGTCCTCTTTTTAGATTGGTTTCAGTTGTTTTGCGCAGCAGAACCTTATCCTATGCTCTGCTTTAGACAGCATGCCTTTGGAAACTAAAAGGGTAGGTCGCTAGAGCCACGCCTTCTGTCAAAGACTGAAGCACGCCAAATTAAAAGGGTAGCTTGCCCAAGAAGTTGCTATTCGACACCCTCTTCGAGGAAAATGAAGGGCTGACAACCTTCCACTGTTGAGGGCGTGTCACATTGAACAGGGCCCAACATTATTTGATTCCCAAGAAGCCGAAAAGCACAGGCGCTTGAAACGGACCTGATTGGTTGAGTTCTTGCCCGTTGAGTTGGCCGAATCACTGCGGTTCGAACCTTCAACCCAGCCCAAACGAGGACATGGCCCAATGGCAATCCCGAAAGTAGCCCAAAGCCTAAAACTGGAGTCTTCTCCAACATTCTTAAGCCATGTTTCGGGAAAAAGCGCCACATCTGAAAATCAGATCTCTGGGAATGTACCCGTTTTTTCGTAGGCGTTCAGCTCGCGAGGAGCAGCGCTTGGACCTGCTGCTGCCTTTCCTGGCGGCGCGTGCGCTGGAGGCCAAGCGAAGCGTGTCGAGCCGAGCGAGGGGACAATGGGCGGGGCGCAGTGTATGGGTGGCTCGTCGATTTTTGTGGAGCGACCCCCTAACTTGGCGGTGTTCCTTTTTTTTTGTTGGTTGCCCTTTGTGGGTTTCCTTTTTTGCAGGGAAACCGAAGGGAGACAACCAAAGGCATTTTTCTGTTGCGGGGCCCTATTTAAGCACAGACCTACATGAGGGTTTAGCTTTGTCCAGTTGGTTTTTTGTGGTCGTAGGAAACCAAAGGAACACTGTTTTGACAGTTTTTATTTTAAAGTACCCCACCCCCACTGGAATTTGGATGGGCAGTCCCAGACATCCGGCGGTTTAGTTGTTTGCATGAATTCGAGTAGAACATTTCAATATCAGGCTTTGAGTGTGGTTCAGTGTTGTCGATTACATGGGCTAAAGTTGCTGATGGAGCCTGGAGGCCGCAACCTTGGTCTTTGTAGGAGAAACTATGTGTGGTTTTTGGGGCGAGCGCGTTGTGTTTTTCACAAGCAACTGTCACAACCGAAAAAAGGAGAACTGGAACTGGTGTGTCAGAATTGCTTTGGAGAAAGAGGACTGACACCAGCCAGTCTTACGGGTTTCCCAAGAGACACCCTTGAGTTCTATTTGTGTCCTTGCCGTGGGCCTTAGAGTTTCGCTCCATGCTTGTTGGGAAGACCAGCTTTAGTGGGACATATTTGCCCATCCATGCAAGCAATGCTACCAAGATGATGACATTTCAGCCTGGTTTGCTCTTGTTGTGGTATACCCTCAAGGAGAGAGAGAGTGCGGGTGCTAATAAATTCTTTGAGCCACGTCAGGTGCCCTAAGTTTTTTTCTCCCCATGGCGCCCTCTGCTTTTTTCTTGCCGATTTGCCTTTGCTCGTTCCCTCATTGGCCGGTTGCACTCTACTTCTTTGGTTCCGGAGCGCCCCGCGTGTTTTCGGCAACCTTGCCAGTCAGAGTTTGAGGGTGACGTGGGCTTGGGCTGTGGCTTTACGCGCATCCAGGTACCTTCCTTCAGGTACCAAGGCTGGGTGGCAGCTGTTCAAACATTTGTGTGTTGATCAACCCCATTTTGGTTTGCCCGTTTGGCAGGGCCTTGTTGAAAGACAATTGGCAACCGACCCTGCTCACCACCCCTTGTTCCATCAGCTGTCTTCCCTGCCATCTACTTTTCCTCGATTTTCCGGAGCTCCCAAAGGTGTGGCGTCGGATCCTTTTTTCAGTTCGGACTGAGCCCATGTTGGGCCCCGGATCGGAGGTCCAAGCCCTGTCGCATTGCCAAATTGGATTCCTTGGAAGGAATCCACCCGGCCCTGTTCAAGTCCGGGTTATGTTTCACAGGGCCTGAACGTCATCTTCAACGTTGTTTCCACCATGCTTGGAAAGTCGCATGACTGATAGGTGCAAGTGCCAACCCGACACGGGTTCAGGCACTGGCGACAGCCCCCACGTAGTCGCATATCCAGCTCCCGCTTTCGCTTGGCGCGCGCCCTCCCCGCCGGCGTGCCAAGCGAGGAGGGCTTGCCCGAGGGGGGCGCCGAGCTGCTGGAGATCATCCGCCAGCGTTTGCAGGAGCTCCGGCAGACTCCGGCGCCTGTGGATCGAGTTGAGGGTTGGAGGGGGGGTGGGCTTGGTTGGGGTTGGAGGGGTTGGAGGGGTTGGAGGGGTTGGAGGGGTTGGAGGGGTTGGGGGGGCTGGAGGGGTTGGAGGGGTTGGAGGGGTTGGAGGGGTTGGAGGGGTTGGAGGGGTTGGGTGGGGGGTTGGAGGGGTTGGAGGGGTTGGAGGGGTTGGGGGGGTTGGAGTTTTGGAGGGGTTGGAGGGGTTGGAGGGGTTGGTTTGGCGGGGTTGGAGGGGTTGGGGTTGGAGGGGTTGGGCTTGGAGCGGTTGGAGAGGTTTGAGGGGCTTGGGGGGTTGGAGGGGTTGGGGTTGGAGGGGTTGGAGGGGTTGGAGGGGTTGGAGGGGTTGGAGGGGTTGGAGGGGTTGGAGGGGTTGGAGGGGTTGAGGGGTTGGAGGGGTTGGAGGGGTTGGAGGGGTGGGAGGGGTTGGAGGGCAACAATTTAAAATTATGCAATAATAATTAAGAAAGAAAGGTGAAGGAACAAGCTCAGGTGCTGCCATCATGTTTTAAAAGGGTCACAACAACTTGTTCACAGTATCTGTTTTTAGGGAAACTTGACTTAGACCTAGAACACTATGCTTGGAATGTGGTAAACACATATCTCTAAAAAATAAGATTATTTTTTGACAAATTGATCAATCAAGGGAGTTAAGATTAATAGTAATAAAAAATAATACTGAGAATGACGAAAGACAAAACAACTCAGTGGCCCCTTTCAGGTCTCTCCAAGAAACCTGACCTTTGAGCCCGTTGTTTTCTTTCAGGGTCCTTTGCAGGAGCATTCCATACCTCCAAACAACAACTATTTGGAACGGTCAGCCTGAACCATTTGTCTGGCTTCTTTTGAGGCGCCTAAGCCTGAAGATTGCCCGCTTCAGCCGGGCCGCCTTGCGAATCTGGACAAAGTCTTGCGGCGGATGACCTTCTCAGGCGGGAGGGGTTCTTGAAAATAGACAAACAATGCAATATATTGCATACTTGTACATACATATGGGTCTGGCTTCTTTTGAGGGTACCCTTCTTGGTTGGTTTGAAAGGGACGCCTAAAGCAAAGCCACCATTTTGGAGCGTTACTGCAACCAAGGATACACGCTAGAGTCGCCAACAAGCAACGCACATGAAGTCGGAAGTGACCTGTGGATGGTAGCTCGAGCCGCTGCAAATAGCTTGCTGCAAGTTTGGACAGTCTTGTGATTCCTGCCCAGTGCGCACTGTCATCATCTCGATGCATTGAAGATCCAGATGCCGCTTGAGAACTGCAACCAGTTTGTCAGAGCGTGTTCCAATGGTCTCGAGCTTGGGGAGATATGAATTCACTCAGAGCTGGGTCTGCGTGTTGTTGTTTCACTGGTAGCGCGCGAAAATGATCCTATCATCGGCTTGCTGTTGGTGTCCCGAGATCGTCCCAAAGTCCCGTGGAATCCTTGGCATAGCCGATTCCAGGTAATTAGCCCATTCCGGGAACCCTTCCAAGAAACTTGCAACCTGAAAGGGGAGTAGAGGAAAAGTTGTCTTGGGTGTCCCTTTGATTGTTTTCGCGCGAAATGGAGGTGTTGTTTCCCTGCGCGAAAGCGGAGTTTGGCTTTCCACGGGCTTGCTTGGTTTGCTTGGCTTGGCTTGCTTGGCTGGCTGGCTTGCTTGCTCGCTGGCTGACCTGCTTGATTGTTTGTTGGGGGTGATTGCTTGCTTATTCTTTTGTTGGGTGGCTTGTAACTTGCTTGTGTTGTTTGGTGTGTTGATTTGTTGGTTTGTTTGCTTGCTTGCTTGCTTGCTCGCTTGCTCGCTTGCTTGCTGCTTTGTTGGGAGGCTTGTTGGGCTTGGCCCTGCGGAACAAGCTGGACCGCGCCTTCACGGAGCGCCTGAAGGTCGCGTTCCAGGAATTACGCTCAGCCCTCTGAGTGAAGCTCCACGAGGGTTGGGCGAAATTGATTGAACCGGCTTAAATGGCCCAATTCCGTGAAGTTGGATTAGGTGTGGACCATTTGTTGCCAAGGAAGTTTCGTGACTTTTCCGGCCATCTGCTTAGGAAGTGGGTAGATGTTTTTTGCCAAGCTGAACCAACAGGAGGTTGCTAAACTCATAGTGGTCTGAACAACCCCGGGGTTTGATTCAAGAGGGTTCTTGGACCAAAGCTGAATCAACTTTGGTCTGCGGGATTTTGGTTTTGAGGGGTGGACCAAAAGACCAGCTTGTGGGATTGGTCCTAGTTTCTTGGATCTCACCCCCGTTTTATTTCAAGGTCCAGCACCTCATCGGCCGCTTTCCAACTCTGGGGCCACGAACTGCAACCTTGCAATACCTTGCAACTTCGCAGGCTCTGGCCCATCTTCACCAAAGACGCAAACCAAACCCTTTGCAGGGCTCCGATTCCGCTTGGGGAGACAAGAAGACTCCCTCTTCGCCCAGGATTTGTCTCTAACACGTTGGTTTCCGTCGTCACCTGGGTTTCGGCAATGGGTTCCGTGTAGAGATAGTTTATTCACTATTGGTTTTCCCAGCTCTACTGGCAGGTATTGTCCCTAAGACGGGGTCATCTCCTATTTGGGTTTGATACTTGTTTGGGAACCCTCTGGACATCATTTCGGTTGCGATTTCTGCACCATCTGAAAAGGCACTTTGCAAGGGTAGCTTGAGGGTCCAGATGGTTTGTGTTGGGCTTGAAGCCTAGGCCAAGAGCACGCGGCCCGCAGCACGCCCTAGCCATCTGCGCTGAATAAAGGCGTCGGCGAGCCAAAGTGCTCGTCAGTGGGCCGAATTTCTTGCGGAGGTACTAGACTTGGGGAGCTGAACTTCGCTGGCATGTGTTTAGGTATCTAGGTTGTGTGTTGTTTGTTGGGGGTTTGTTTGTTGGATTTTTATGTTTTCTTTTTTTTGGTAGGAGCCTACAAACAGATAGCGTTCTTTGCTGGTTGTTCATTTTTGGTAGGAGACTACAAAACAACAGTTTTGTGCTACCATACCAAGTGTTGGAAAGGATCTCGATAGATATTGGGAATCACAGTTGGGCAAACGCAGGCCCCAGCAGGTTCCCCTGAATTGGTGGTTTGGATTGGTGGTTTGGGGATTTGAACCCCTGGTTCTTGTGGAGGGTAGATGGGAACCACCAATCCAAACCACCAATTGGAAGGAAGCTGCCATTTAGATTTTGTGATAGAGGTACAAACGGGAGAAGCGGCGTAGTGCCATCCGCTTTACACCTGATTCTGGGACCACCCCACCTTTTGGAGGGCATCTGAAGTTCTTTCGGCTACAAGGTACATATGGTCTTGGCTACATGGGCATGACCCGGCTATATAAATGGTTGAAATGCACTTCCAAATGGTTGCATAGATCCTGCAATGATGTTCACCAAAGTACCGACACAAGTGTTCAGACCAGGCCCCAATTGTCCATGTTCTTGCGCGAATGGTTGCATGAGTTACGCAATAAGCCATAGACCGCTTCCAGGGGAAGCTAGGATCATTTTTCTGGTCAAATGGGGGTTGATCAAAACGTCCTTTACATTGGGTGACCATTAGGGAACCCCCCAAACAAGATGACTTTCACCACTCAAGGGGAAACGTGTCCTCTGGTCATTTTGGGGCCAGGAATATTGATCAAGCCCCAAATGGTATTTCGCAGATTGCAGCTTGAGTCCTTCATGAAGGTTCCATAGGGAACCTTTTCAGGTTCTATGATGAAAGTTCCTTTCAGAACCCAGAATTCCCAAGACCTTTAGCTATAAATCCAAACCAATATGCTTCTCAAGGCGTGTCCTTTTTTGTGGTTTCGGACGGGTTTCCCTGGATCAGGCGACGCCATGGGTTTCCCTGGGGAAGAGGCTTGGCGTTTCCGTGGGCAGTTTTTCCTTTGGCCATGAGCTTTGCGGGCTGAATATGGTGGAACATAAATCATCTTGATGCCAGGGTCCCCGATTAAAAATCATAGCATTAAAAACGTCCAATCTGGGGGTACCTGACACTTCTCTTGACACTGCGCTTGGCATCGGACGGAGGCACGGCAATTGGTCCCAAACTTCAACCAGTCCGTTCCGGATTCCTCAATGGCTGAAGATATCAATCGGTGCAGCAGCGACTCGGAGGTTTTGGCTTTGTACAGATCCGCCTACTTGGTGTCGAGATTCGCATTCCACATCCCCCATCCGCAAGTTTCAGCAAAATGAAGCCTGGGAGGGGGGGGGTCGGGGGGTCGAGGAGGGGGGTTGGAAATTTAAAGCAATGTGAATCATAAATTGAGCAGCGCTTGACATCCATTGATCATTTTAGCAGGTGCTTCCACTAGCTGGTGTAGTGGGATTGTAGCAAATCCTACATAAACCTGTACCACGTTGGTAGACCCAAAAGCAACGTGTTTTGGGTGCTCAGTTTTTCAGCTTGATTTTTCGCGGCAAGCTTACAGGTGGCTGGGAGGACAAGGATTTGTCGGGTCCCTCGAAGAACAACCAACCTTGGAGCAGAGGGTCCAAGTACAGGCAACATGTTGGGTTGGTTGGGGGTTGGTTGAGCGGTGGGGGGGGGGGGGGGGTTGGAAAGTTTCAGCGTGTATCCTATTTTTTGTGATCCCCTCAAAGCTGTTGCTTTCTTGTTGGGCTGTGAGATAGGTTTTCATACCAACCCGAGACCTTGAAATGGAGGAGTCGCAGGTTTACTGGGCCAGACCCTGACGAGCACCCGTCCCCGAGCAAAAGTGCAATGCAAGTGGCTGCGAAAGACTGCCGCAACAAAACACGTTGCAAGGAGTGCTGAATAAATTACAGCTAACTCAACTCCGGACGACCACCCTATCTGGAAAGTAGCACATCGAACCGCAAATGGGGAACCGCAAAGGGATGGAAAGCAAGCTTCTTGGGTTGACCTGTCCTGGAGGCTAGTTGTTGAAAGCACCAACAGATGCACAGTCAGCATGATATGCCCAATGGATGAACGAATTCTAAGGGTGGTTACTTGCCATTTGGGGTGGTCATCTGAGCATGTTTTGCCAATTGGTGGGGGTCACACTTGCCCCAAGCGTCAACTTGCGCGACCTGGATCCTTTTCGCAGAGAGGCACCCAACACCCGGGTTGGCCACTTTATGAGTCGGGATATGCCTCAAAAAGGGCACACCCATATAGTGAGGGGTATATATATATATAACATTAAACTCAAATATATATATATATATAGCATATCAGCCCCTTTCGTGCGCGCTTTCCCACCACCGTCTTTTGAGCGCCGTGTGCGACTCTCCTGGGCCATCGAGCCCAAGCGCCTGCAGGGGCTGGCCTGCCAAGGTTGGCTACTTGGAGTCGGGCTCCTTGGCAACAGCAGCAAATTAGTAAACAGGTCTGCTTCTATTTTCTTCACGTCTAGGCTGAAACAAAACGAAGAACTGACACGAATGGTCAGGACTGGCTGAAAACCTCAATGGGGGTCTCCAAAGGAGCTTTTGTTTCCTGCAAAGCGGTGCGGGGTGAAGGTAAAATAAAGCAGCTTATATACCAAGTAACGGTCTCATGTGCCCATGTTTGTCTGCAACTGCAACTGCAACATGTCACAGTCATGCAAATAAAGATATCTGCCGCAGCAACTTCTCTGCGCCCTTATCGCTTCCTCCGCCTTCTTTGCTCTAAGTCATGGCTCCTGAGGCACCTCAGCGCGCTCAATCCCTCGCCCGCTGATCTACCAGGACAACTTGGCTGGCAACATGACCTTCGACAAAGCAGTGGCCCACGCTGACGGCATGAAGCTGGTGCCCTTGGACAAGCCCATGATTGTCCACAAGGAGCACGGTGTTGTGAAACTGAGTGACCTGCCGGCCAAAATGGAGATCACCGACGGCAGCATCAAAGAGAAGCATCACTTTCTGGATGTGATCGCGGACTGGGAGGGCACTCTTGACTTCAAGAACATAGAAACGCTCTTCCTCCAGCAGCGCTATGCAGATCTGCCACCTCCACTCCTCTCCATGAAGGGTCAACACCAGGCTCCGTACACCATGCAGCTCATCATCCTGCCGAAGCCTGGGGGCAAACATGATATCATCAAGCGTATCAAACTGCAAGATGACGACAAGCTGACGCACGCCACCATCATCTCGATGTGTCATGGAACTCCTCTAGAGATTGATTTGCGTGGCAAATTCCGCGAGGGATCCCGAGGCTTCCAACACATGCTGCAGTCCATGGGCGGCTTCCAGGTAAAAACAGTTCTTATTAGGAAAGGATAGAAATGTAGATCACGGGGGGGTTGACCATATATATATATATATATGGTGAGGTTCGGTCAACATGTTCGCCAGTCTTTACTCAAGTTTGGAGAGACATTGCAGGCACACACTCCAGTTTGTCCATGTTGGTTGCAGGTAGCATACTTTGGGCAGGGTTGCCTCGAGCCTCAAAACCATGACCAAGCCGCTTTTGGGCCCGGAGCAGGCCCTTTGGAGCATCCCTGTGACTCAAGCATGGTAGCAAACAGAGTTTGGGGTGCTTCTCAGACGAATCCCTTTTGGCATGTCGCGTCGCGTTTTGCTGTCAAAAGGATCCGCCAAAGAATGGGCACAAGGGAGTGCAAGAACATCATGCGGTGGTGAGTGTGCCAAAGTTAGGATGCACAAAAAACATATTTTTTCCTTCTGGGTATGTCTTTTCTTTGAGGATGGATTTTTTGTGGTTTTGGAACGGAAACAAAAAGGAAAACCACCCATTTTAGGGGCTACCCCTGAAGAAAGACACCCTTCTGGCTTTCGCGAAGAAGGCTACCCTCAAAACAAACGCACACACACACACACTCTCTCATGTCCTGGGAGGGACATATGGGGGACGCTCTAAACTTCGAAAGCACGTAAACTTTGACGGAGATCCAAGAAGTAAAGGCTGCAGAACTGCAAGAATCGCTCCGCCTTGATTTTTCCTTTTAGGGTGACAATGTCGATACCCTTGGTCCAGCATTTGGGTAGAGGCCCAGACAGTTTGAACTGTTTGGCCGATAGTTAGCGTCAATTAGTTGAGTGTGAGCCACATTCAAAAGCCGAAGGGTAGGCCGGGGGTGCGTATAGGTGGCCCTTTGATTTCTGGGAAGACCATGATACGGGTATGGGTCAAAATTGAACCAGGACTTGGAGAGCAGGTTTGAGTCCATGTTTGTTTTAGACCCGCAGCCATGCCAAGTTTGATTGTGACTCATGTTGGACGGTTTCAACCCGCTCGCGCACCTTGTTGTCCTTCGGAGATCGATGCACCGACGGATTCGGATGCCATTTGATCATTCGTGCCGTGGTGCCATGGCTAACGTCGCCGTTCCCAACCCAAAGTGGGCACGCCGCACAGCTTCTAACAAACGGGGAGTCGCTTGCGCAGGACAGTCATGTAGCCAGACGGAACCCATGTTGAACCTATGGGTCACACAAGCACCCTGTTTTGTCCGTTCCTTTTTTGGCGCTGATTTCACCGCATTTCATGGGCTCCCTCAGGCAACCCCAAATAGCTCCGCCCCTTGAGGCTCCTGCAACACCTAGTTCAAATCTAGCAGGCACGGCTCTTTGCATTCTTAGTCAAGTTTTGGGTAGCCCAAATTCATGTTCGTGGCCTCGTGGGTGGAAGAGGACCCTCTTCCGGATGAGAAGCGAAAGGAAGCCAACGAATTTCAGGCGACCGCCTGATGCCTTGAATTAGATGCGACATGTTTTTGTTTTGGATGTGTTTTGTGGCACCGTAGCGAGCCCTTTTGGTTAGCATCCAAATGCAGACCAAAAGGACGGGCCATTTCTTGGGTCCTCTTCTCACTCATTGGGGGGTTCTTCGGATGCAAGTGAATGTTCCCCGAGTATGTCCAGGGGTCCTGAGCAACAAAGCCCTCTGAATTTTCGGATCGTGCATCGAGTGGCCACAGCGCCGAATCGCGAGCTGTCTCCTTTCAACATCCCTCCAAACCACCTCAAGCCCCCGCGATCCACCACCCAAACACCCCCCACCCCGCAAGCCTGCCAAGCCTTATAGGTGGCGCAGCTTTCAGCTTGGGAGAAAATGACCCCAAAAGGGGCGAAGACAACTCGGCTGGAAGCCTAGCTCAAGCCTCAACTTCTTCGTTGGGGGCGGTTTCAACCATTTATCTACAATAATTGGAACCCCTATGAATCCAAATCAAGGGGAGCCTGAAAGCCACTTAGGAAGCAAAGCGCCAGGAAGATGCTCGGACTCTTTTCACATGGCGTTTTGGGACAATTATGATTGAATCGGGAATCCATTCTGAATGTTAGGCTTGGGATATTCTGCTTGCTTTCTGGTTCCTGTGCATCCCATCCCATTCCCTCACGCACTGGCAGGTCAGGTTCCACTCAATGCTTTTCAACTCAACGGGGGGTTCTAGGAAACCCGCCTGGCAAAGAAATGAACAGCCTTTTAGGTTTTGTCTGGCCGTACAGCGAACCGGTTTTTTCGGGTCGTTCATTCTGGACTCTACCAACCGAGTCGGCTCGAGTGACCCTAGGATTCTCGGGACGGAGAAGGTGGGCCCTGGCTCAATAGGGCACTCTGAATGGTTGGTTCAAAGCAATCCCTGAGGCGAGCGCCAAGGAATGGTATGACATGTGGCATGCTGAAGCGACCCGGGTTCGCAGCCATGCAACCTTACTATTCGGGGTGTTTGGAGTTTACCAGGGACTTATGACAAATCCGATATCCTACTGCGTCCTGGGACTTCAGCCCTGGGAAATAGCTTTGCAGAAACCTTTTTGCGGGACTGGGAGGGGTCCCGCACACGGAGTCTTTTCCATTCGAGGGAGCACTTCTAGACTGACGTTGTCCAGCTAGATGGTTGTTTTTTTTTAACATACTCAGCTTGTGTTGGAACTCACTTGAGGCGAGCTGTCATTCGTTGGGTTGGGCTCCAGCCAACAGTAGCAAAATTGACACCAATTATTTAGGCCGCTTATGTGCTAGAATTTGCAGAACACGTGATTTGGCTGTCGTCTGAAGGGAGGGCACAGATGGTTCCCCACGTTCGCTTGAGGTCGGAAGGCCCGGTTACATGTCCTGCACCCAAAGTGGTCAGGAAGCAGGTAGCGCATCAGCCAGCAGTGAAGGAGGAGTCCACTCACATGTCCATTGAACGGTAGACGCACCAACATCCCGTGTCAATAAATGTTGACCGGGGCTTACGTACATCAGTGGAAGGTATGACTGGTGCGACTGGCGCGCGCGCACGCGACTGGGTGAAGACAAATGAGCCAAGTGAGCCAAATCAGCCAAAAGCGAGCCGCGGGGTCATTTTTTGGGGCACTGTTTGCTTCTTTTGAAAGGCGGTAGAGATCGCGTCACCAAGTTTCGCAACAAGGTGCTCATTACCGTCGCCCTTCAAAGACTGCTGCTCCCTATCTCCAACCTCTCAGGGCCCTTTTCTACACACCTGGTTTGGAGCGCGGAAAGAAACACTAGACCTTGTGCACTAGGGTCCATAGCATCCAACCCCTCGCTACATCCCTCTCCCTTGTTTCCTGACGCCTTCTTAGGGTATCTTAGGCTCTTTTGGGAAATGGGAAGGGCGGCTCAGTGGGGTTTGGACGGTTGGGATCCATGAGTTGGCTGAGAAGCACATGAAACGCTCAAAAGCATCTGTGGCCCTGAAAAGGGAACAGCGACCTTCACTCCGGCAACTTGTCCCTGGGAAGAAGCAAACATGGACTCGGGTGAAACCCTCTATACCGTCCCTCTAGGAGGGAATTCCCCAGTTGCGATTGAGGGGTTCGATTCCAAGATGTGTTGGCCCCTCTCGATTTATGAGTGCTTTCTCTCCAGGTGATAGTTGTCTGTTTGTTCTGTTGCAAACTGATACCACAAAGGGCCTCTAATTTTGACACCCCCCCTACTGTACTTAGGCGCATCTCCAGATATATAGTTCTATCCCGGCTGAAAGCGACACAAGCAACCAAAGCCCCGCTCCCACAACCCAGGCAAGCTGAGATCGCACCTGCCAGTTCCAAGACATAAATTCCAGGAAACAAAACCCAAAACAAAACGGGGAAAAAAAGCAAATCGGGCCCCCATATATATATATATATATATATATAGCCAGTTGACAAAACACGAACATGACATAGCATGTTGGAGTTTGTAACTTGATTGCTGGGTCTGAGCTCTGAGCTTCGCAAGTCAGTTCAGCCAACAGCTGATAAGAGCTCCCAGTTGCCCAGCGTATCCGTTTTGCCTTTCTCTGGGAAGGGGTAGTGAACCAAAGGAAGAACAAGGTGCCCTTTTCCCCAGGCCCACAGGGCTGAGGCTTCTAGACCGGGCCACGCTCATTTTTCAGAAAGGCGAAAAGCCACGAGACACTGAGATGTCCCTCCGATTCCGGCAGCGATTCCGGGAATGTGTCAGGTTACGCGGGCTTCGCGGCTTGCCGTCCTTGGAATTTCTGGGTTCAGGGGAATCATTCCAGGGTGGTTTCCTTTTCGCTTCCCGTGTGTGTACATATTTGTCAAGTTGACACGCTCCCCAGCTCCCCGTTATGCGGCCCTTGCTCGGATCCGAGCGAAGGAGCGCGCAGCCGTACGCTGGAGTTGTGCCATGAATCACCCGCGGGGAATCAACCAGAGTTGTTCAAACAGTGGTGTTAAAGTTTTATACCCTGTTCACACACATAGAACCCACCAGAGGGTTTCTTTGAAAGGGAAATAGTCTTCCAGGACCCCTCAGTCCGGGTGTTATCGAAGCGTCGTTTTTGAGGGACAGGCGATTGAGACACAGCACCTGGAAGGAAGCTGAAGCGAGCACGTGAAGCAATGCCCGACATCCCTGTGTGGTGATTTCAATGCCAACGCCAGCAGTTGCTCCAGCTGACAAGCCAGCGCCAGCGCCAGAACCGGCAGTTGTGAAGCTAGCTGTGACTCCAGCGCCCTTAGCGCGGATGTGCGTTTGGCGCGCAGAGAAGTATAGAATGTTTGGATTTCAGCCACTCAACAGCTTCAATCCAGTCTTTTGAACTTTTCAAGCGGAGAAGTTCATCCTGGTTACTTCCGGATTTGGAGGAGACGGCACTCACCAAGAACTGCTTGAGGCATGGTGCGACTCAACAATCCGGCTCCCTCTGAAATGGGTCACCCTCTATAGCAAGGCTTCTTAGAAGATCTTGTTCGATGGATGCAAGCGTTTGCAGCGCGCCAAAGGCAAAACTCCGGATGGGTCCCACTCGGGGCCTCGATCAAAAGCATTTGATTGAACGGTGAAGCGAAAT